AGTGTCTCACTAGGTAGTTGAGACTGATCTGGGACTCATGTAGCCCAGGCTGGTCTCGAACTCAGCGATCCTCCTGCTTCAGCCTCCTGAGTGCTGGGATTACAGGTGTGCGCCATCATGCCCAGACGGAGCTTTCAATAATAAACAGCCAGGTCTGGCACACATGTCACAGGTTCCCCATCACTGACCTACGTAGACCCTTACTAATAAATGTTAACTGTGAGATCCTTAGACGTGTTAGCTACATTATCCAGCAAAACTGAGAGACACAAAAATGGTTGAGTCAATACAAATCTGTGTGGACTCACAAATAAGGCTAAGCCCTATTCCCCTTCAGAACTCCAGCAAACCACTTCCCCCCATGCAAGGCCGGGAGAGCTCGATCCCGTCAGGCAGGCAGAGGCAGATGGGGCCGAGTAGGCTGGCTTGGCCGTGCCTCCTGAAGAAACCCCATCCTTACTCCTGAAAAGTGTCAGTGGGGCACATTCACAGACGTGAAGAGGTGTGAAGTCCCTCTTCCGTCCATGTAGGGAACATGGCCGCTGCTTTGTCCAGTGTACAGCCAGACTTTCAAGCACAGGACACCTAGAACCCTGTGCACGTGTGGGACAGAAATCACTTTCTACTTCTGTTAATGGCTGCACCGTTGTAATCAGGATGCCTGACAATTCGGCGCCAAGAGCCAGCTCCACCAGGGCAAGGTCAATTATTTGGGGGTCTCTCCTAACAGCTGTCACAGTCTCTGGTGCCGTTGTCAGCTGTGACAGGCAAAGAAACCCTTCACGGTGTTGTGTTGTAGGTATTTCTGTGAAGATGTGGACTTTAACCTGAGAACAAACAGCAGTGGCCTGCTCATTTGCCGCTTCAACAACTTCAGTCTCATGAAGAAACACGTTCAGGTTGGCGGGCAGAGGGACTTTATCATTAAACCAAAGATCATGGTAAGTCCTGCAAGCTTGATGCTACTGCTCAAAATAGGTACCGATTTTTTTTTAACTGGGCCACTTCAACGTTTTTTAGTTTAATAGTTCTCGTGATGACTATAGTTCGCAAGGCTGTCTGGTAGCAGTGAGAAGCATCACAGTTGGGCAGTTTTCCTGAGAGGTCTGTGGCCGGCAGTAATTGTATACAACTGCCACAAGAGGAAGAACGCACTCGTGCCTGTGTCGCTCACGCTCACTCGGTGGCCGCACCTTCCGTGCTGACAGCCACAGCTGGAGTGGTCCTGGAAGGCAGGCGACGACCCCTTCAGTTCACAATGTGTCACCTGGGCCTTCTGGAGAGCGCTCCTTACAAAGCCATCTCCAGTTACCATCTCTTTTGGGCCTTCTTTTTCCTCCTCCCTGTCCAAGTAACAGTCAGTACCTGTTTCTCCCTCGGCACGCACTTTAGGCAGAGGGACTTGCCATTTCCTGCCTTCTCTTCATTTTCGTTTAATCCCACTGGAAAGTGGGGAAGCAGTTTTGCTCCCGACTCCACTTCTCTGTCCAGCAGACGGGCAGGTCCTGCTTCCTGCGCAGTCTTCATGGCTTTCACTGGGTGATTTGCTCTTCATCCATCTGACAGACTTTTTCATTCATTTTTTTTTAGCATGGTGCTCTTTATAGAACTTGGTCTTAGGTTAAAAAAAAAATTTAAGACCAGGAAAAATTTATTGAAAATAAGTTTCCATCCAGGAGAGACAGAGGGGAAACGGAAAAGTGGGCTGCCCTGTCAATTTTTTTTTTAAATATTCACAGGCTTTCACTTTTTTCTCTTGGTAATTGAAACAGTATCCATAGCGTTTACAGTGTGATTTGATATATTCACTTTTATGGCACGGCGACTGCCAGAGCCACTGCTGCTGGGTGCGGCGTTCAGAATGGCAAAGCAGCTCTCAATTTTCAGGGCTCAGAGACCCATAATCAGCCTCGGCTGGTGTGAAGGTCCAGTAATTTTTATGAACACTGTATCTTTGTTACCAGAAACTGGCATTAAGCAATTCCTACTAAAAAGAGAAGTAGCCCAAGGGGGATTTTTGGTGTGCCTGCCTGCGTGCGTGCGTGTTGGGGGCAGGGGGTATTGGGAGTTGAACCCAGGCCTTAGGAATGTCATGCAAGTGCTCTGCCACTGAGCTGCACCCTCAGCCCTTCTAAAATTTTATTTACTTTTTATTTAAGATAGAATGTCTCTCAGTTGCTTAGGCTGGCCTCAAACTTGTGATCCTCCTGCCTTAGCCTCCTCAGTAGCTGGGGTTACAGGCATAAACCATCACACAAAGCCCAAGGAGTTTTTTGGTTTGTTTGTCAAACTCGGGACCTTGAGCTTGCAAAGCAGGTGGTGGAAACAATGAGCTAAATCCCTGCCCCCAAGGGAGTTTTAATGTCAACTGTGCAGTTTTGTTTCTATTTCCAAAGACTCACCTAGAACCTCAGCACAAGTTCTGGCCATTCAGTGAAACTCTGTGCAGACTTCAGCAGTAACCCCTCCATCAGAGCGTCGGCTCTGAGATGGCGTACTTCACAGCAAGGTTTCGTATGTAATGCCCGAGGAAACATGGAACTCTAAACGATTGCCTGGTCCTCTCCAGATTTTTTAAGATAGGAATACAGACCATACCCTGTAAAGAGAATTCTACGGGCCACTGTCTCTCTAGAGATTTCCTGACATCTGGTCACTCTTAGCAGCAAGAACGACCAGGGGCTTAGGAACCTTCCTCTGGGGATGGGGGTTGGAATGAGATTGGAACCAACCCATACACACAAGGCCACAGTAGCCTTCCTGCCGGACCTTACTTTCAAAAAAGCCTACTTCCCACTTTCCCATTTTATCTATAACTTAGGTTAAAAACTGTTGTGTCATTCATTCCCAAAGGAGGGAAATGAAGGGCCAAAAATGAATGACACACTGCCAAATGGTTTATCACTGCACTGTTTGTTACCAATGCAGTAGTTCCCCTTACTTGTGATTCTAATTATCCAAGTATCCAAGGTCAGCCACAGCCTGAAAATATTCACAGCCTCAACTCTACAGAGACCACACTCACATCACTGTTACCACAAAGTAGCGCTACACTGTTCTGTCTCTTACTGTCCCTAATGAGAAAATAGTCAGCAGAAGGCCAGTACAACGTATGAGTTCAGGCATCCCTGGGGTCTTGGAACACAGCCCTGGGACCTGCGTGGAACAATCCAGGGCCGCGCCAGGCACAGCTTCCCCACGCTCTATCCGGCTCTCACTGCAGGTGTCCGAGAGCTCAGCACCCGTCCTGCCCCTTCAGTACGTCTGTGCTCCAGACAGTGAGCACACGCTGCTGGCAGCCCCGGCACAGTTTCTCCTGGAGAAGTTCCTGCAGCACGCCGCGTACAAACTTTTCCCCAAAGCCATCCATAACTTCAAGAGCCCCGTACTGGCCATCGACTGCTACCTTAACATCGGACAGGAGGTAAAGGTGGTGGTTGGCGCTGTGCTCACCGACAGCTGCCCATTTCTTTCCACATTAGCTTGGTTTGCACGTGTAAACAGTGACAGAGGGCGTGTATGACGCACCATGGAAAGGGTCACACAGAGCCTGTCTCACCTGTGCTAAATGAGCAGTGACCATGCCCCACTTAGATCCCGAGACGCCTGCCTTCGTGACCTGCATGGCAGCACCTGCTCAAGGCCACCTGTCCCGGCATCCGTGTCGCTGTCCTGTAAGTGCAGGGCTCCCCTCCCCAGACCACGGCTCTTCCAAGGACACAGTGTCCCCACACAGCAGAGAAGCAAAGCGGCCTTCATGCCCTTCCCACCTGGCATTCCTCCACCTCCCCGCTCTGGGCTCCTGAGTTCTTCACCAGTTTTAAGTTTTTATTTTGTTAACTGCCACTTGCACTTCTAGATTTCTGCCATTAAGCTTCCTTGGGATTATACTTTAGGACTTTATCTACATTATCTCCATTAATGTACTGTACGTCCTCCTTAGGACAGGGTCTCGCTATGTAGTTCAGGTTGGCCTCAACTCCTGGGGATCCTCCTGCCTCAGGCTTTTAGGTGCTGGTATTACAGGCACTTGCTACCACACCACACTTGAATCTTTAAAAATAAAAAAATGGGGCCGGGTGTGGTGGCGCACACCTGTAATCCCAGCACTCGGGAGGCTGAGGCAGGAGGATCGCTGGGAGTTCGAGACCAGCCTGGGCTACATAGTGAGGTCCAGGTCAGTCTCAACTATACAGTGAGACCCTGTCTCAAAAAACCAAAACTAAAAAAAAATTAAAAAAAAAAAATGGAGCCACGTGTGGTGGCTCACTATAATCCCAGCACTTGGGAGACTGAGCCTGGAGTATTACAAATTCAAGGCCAGCCTGAACTACATAAATGGTGAAACCAAAACAACAATAAACAAAATAAAAGTAGTATAAAAAGAAGTAAAATCACTTGTAAAAGGAACAAAATATTTCAGTGCATTTCATCTCCTAGGTTTGTTTTTTTTTTGCACCAGGGATCAAACTCTGGTCCTTCACTTGCAAGGCAGCGGGTGGAACCACTGAGCTAAAACCCTGGCCCTCTCCTTTTCAGTTTGCCACTTCGTGTGTACTGTCAGACATACACGTCCAAACACACTCAACATATCAAGTGCAATATTAAGATTCAAGTGTCAATATTTTGCATTCCCACTTTTATGATGTATCGATAATTACACTGAGCTGGGCCATTACCTGTACACTTTCAGAGGCAAAAGGCATCGGATGTAATGGCGCTTTTGCTACTATCTGCGTACATCAGACCTGTAACCCAGGGCTGCCAATGCCACTACCCTAGAGCACAGGGCTCCCAGCATTAGAGAACACCGTCTCATTCTAGGAACAGCTAACACTGACTACTTACTAAGGGTGTGCATGAATCCTTTAATTCCCACTCAGACCCGAAGAGGGACTACCATGACCTCCACAGGGGAGTAACACAGGCACAGAACAGAGGACTGTACGCTGTTCAGGGCACAGCCACGGAGCCCAAGCCAGCTGGCCAGCACCTCTCACCATCCCACCCTAACTCCACTGCTTTATTCTCTTCCTGGGGCCTCTGTCACTTACCTTCTGTATACAGAAGCCATAAAGAGCAAACAGCTTAAATCCATGCTGTTTGAAGCTTCTATCCAATTGAAAAGTTAAATACAGCTAGATGAAAAGCTGATTCTAAAGTATTTTATTCCCATCAGTAAGGTAATCTGAACACATCATCTTTCCTAAGGTATGCGTTCCTAAAGGAAGGGTTGTTTTCTTTAAATGCTACACTCTTAGAGGGGCTGTTGTTTCTAAATATTAGTTTCATTTCTTCCCCATGAAAAATAGCCCTTTGGCAAAGTAAAAAAAAGATTCAGTTTCTCACAGGGAGCTGCGGCCTGGCCCTGCCCCACAGAGGGAGCAGGGCTGTGCCGCACTGGGAGCAGCCGCTGCCCGGCTGACCTCGCTGTCTCTGCTTGCAGGTGGCCATTTGCTACGTCAGCTCCAGACCACACTCCAGCAATGTCAACTGTGACGGGGTGTTTTTTAGTGGACTTCTCTTGTACCTTTGTGACTCTTTTGTAGGTGCTGATCTTCTTAAGAAATTTAAGTTTCTAAAAGGTAAACCAAATTTAGTATCTTGATTCATGTCAACATTACTGGTTCCTACTAGAAAAAAATTCAGAGTTGAAACATCACAAATAAAAGTCCTTTAATACTGATTTTGACCAATAACCCTAATTGTAAACCAAAGCCAGTGACCTCCATAATTAGAAAGGGGGGGCATGACTTGTAGAAATTAAACAAATAAACTTTGCAATTAGAGAGGAGACAACCAAGCCACTGTTATACTACATGCAGGTGAACATACAGATTTGTGACCATAGTATAGGGGCTTCTGCCCCTAATTTTAGAATATTTCTCTTATTCTCTAGTTTATGTAACCACCGTACACAGTAATGTGAATGCAGTGGACTGCCTGGGACAGAAATCAATTGCAATCAATTTGTGTAACTGTGTCCCCAGGCATAAGCCCTTAGTTACGGGTCTGAAATAAAAACTATAGTTATTTCGACAGATAAAACATCATACAAAGAGTTACTAAATTTACCTCAGAACAGACTGCAGATTAAACATCACATGTAATTGTGCCAAGATGACCTTTACAGTCAGTGAAGGCACAGCACGAGGCTGGGGAAGTCATCTCCGAGGTGGGTGGACAGTGCTGTCACCGGGGTGCACTGGCGACCTCAGGATGGGCTGGAAGCTCACACACACGGCGCAGTCCAGCCCTCTGCCCCACACAGAACTGCTCGGTCCCAAGTGGTAACGTACAGGGACCTTGTCCCAGGGACACACGAGAAGCCACTGGTCACCACAGGCAAGTGGGGCTGTGGTTGAAATTTCTCAGGGCACACTCTTTCAAACCCTTCAAGATGTAAAACTGCTGACCCCCAAATAATAAAGTGAACAATTCTGATGGTGTCTTACCTAAGCAGGGTCCTCACAGGTGTCAGCTTGGGACTGAGTCAGACAGAGCTGGTCAGGCCAGGGTCCCCTTGCAGCCCCAGCCCCTAAGACACATTTCTGCCTTTTTCTGGAAGGTGCTACCCTGTGTGTCATCTGCCAAGACAGAAGCTCCTTACGCCAAACAATTGTCCGCTTAGAGCTAGAGGATGAGTGGCAGTTCCGCCTCCGGGATGAGTTTCAGACTGCAAACAGCAGCGAAGACAAGCCTCTCTACTTCCTTACTGGACGCCATGTGTGAGACCTGAGGAAACCAAAACCAGCCCAGGGATGGTGAGGTGGGGTGGAACAGAAACAGCTGGGGATTTTTTTTTCTTTAAAGTACAATCACTGTGGAGCAAAGTGCAACATTATTTGTCTACTCTCCAAAGAACTCCCCAAATGTGACCCAGGTCTCTGGGGACATCAGTCCTTCAGGTCCAGTTGCGGGCCTTTGGTTAAGGTGAACTTCACCAGTTACGCGGTGAAGACGTGGTCCTGCCTGTGGGAACCTGAGAAGACGGGCGCGGAGAACACACGTGGAGTCCGCATTGATATTCTACTACATTAAGCTGGGGAAACTGTCAGCATTAGCTAGCTTGAATGTGTCACGTGAAAGTCGCACCACTGGTGTAGACAACTGAAGATTAATGTTTGAGGCCTGAGCCCTCAGTTTCTCTTCAGATCTGTACTTTGGTACAGTATTACTCAGGGGTCTGAAATGATAGAATGTAGAAGATATTTGTATTTAAAAAAGAAGTAGCTTTGTCTTTCTGTGCAGTGTTAGTTTAAAATTTATAATCTTATGTGTTGAAACTTTTGGCAAAATTTCCACAGGAGTTAAAAGTTTACTACTAAAATTGAACAAACAAATCAGTAAATGCAGAGCAGGCGTTACTGCATTTATGAGGCTCCTCCTAGCTTAATTTCCTTTGCTTGCCCGTTCCTTAAAACCGTTTCCAGTCCTTAAGCACACCACGTCTACAAGAATGTGGAACCTGATTAAGTGCGACAGTTGGGCCACTTCAGACACTCCTGGCAGTTAACCCGCACACACCCTGCTCTGGCTGGAAGTGAACAGCTGGCACCAGCAATGCCAGGCCGAGGTTCCGCTGTGGAGTAGAGCTAAGTCGTTTGTCAGGGACTCGGGCAGAGCTTCCTTTAAAAGACAGACTGTTAGCTGCCGTACGTGGACAACACAGCCTTAGAGAACTGGTCCTTCCACCGCTGACTTTTTGGTGATGCTTAAGGGAGTCTTCTTGACTGTATCAAGTCAGGAGGTGGTATCTAATCAGAACCAACAGTAGTGTGCTAAATTTCTATGGGTTTCTCATCAAATACTGTAATCAAAACCAGATTTTTACAAAGCATTCTGAAACAGTCCACTGAAGTTTATACTTACATCACTCTGGTTCTTGTTCTCAAACAATCTGAGATTTTCTCATTAGCCCGTATGTATCACTTTATCCCCACTTAATACTTGAATCTGTCTTGCAAAACTACTGAAAGGCCTACAAAGCCTGCATTTGCTGAGGACAAATAGTATGAACTGACCAGCTTTATTATCTTTGTAACAAGGAGTTTAAATCTAGTGAAAAGATGGAATGTATTAAGACAAAATAGACTGCAGATCTCTTGGTTTTATTATAGCTACTTATGATGCTTTAAATGTATTTTGAAATGAACAATTTCTTTTAACCTTATTTTTAATTGTCCTTCAAAGAGGATCTGCCTTACATATGCTTTAAAACTACTCCGTTTTAGTGCAGCTAAATTTTTGGCAGAGAGGTACATTCTGAACAGTGGGGTTTAGGTATGAATGTATTTCACATGTCCCATCTTGTTAAAAGGGCCTGATGCAGGTGATATCGAGCATTCCACTGTTTGTGCAATATTCCGACATTAACTATATAGAGGAAATAAAATACTTGAAGTCTCAAACAGTTGTTCCCGGGGCAGATGGCTTCTCAAGCATTTCTTTGGGCTTTATCATTTCAGTCTAAAGAACATTTCTTAAAAGTTACTTTAGATGCAGGTACTCCGTCTTAGGGCTGTACTTGGAAAACTCCCATGATCACGAGCTCAGTACCATCCAATTCTGTGAAAGAGAAATGCCAGAAGAAAACCAAAAGGCCATCACCCAATAATGGGGAAACTTACACCGGCCTTCCTGTTCTTTCCAAACCCTATCCTACTAAGGTTTGGGTCTTTTTAAATCATTTTATCAACGTCATTCTTCAGAGAACGTGAAGTCCTCTTGAAGGATAAAATTGCACAAGCAGAGGACGCCATGGTCTGTTAATGTGTCTCAGTGTGTTCTGTTAGGCTTTTCTACCCTTTAGACACTAACGTGGGCCAGATGGATTCCCGAGGCCTGCACAGTAACTTGCCTGGAGACCTGCTGCACCGCAGCACGTGTACCACTTCACACAGGTTAATACTGAATGTAAACTAAAGGTTAGAACGAGAATTGTTGTAGTCAAGTTGTTTTGGCTGTAATTTATGCAACTGCTTTTTGTGACTTTAGAAAAGGGAGCACCTCTTATTTTATTACTGTAAAGCTTTCTTAACCAAAATTTGGTGAATTTCACTAGTCAGTCTACCTCACATTTTGTTTATGATTTAAAGTTGTCTTGTGTCAACAGTATGTTCTTGTCCTTTCATTTAATTTGGTGAATGTATTAAAATTCTTTCTCATCCCCCACCTCCCCCAAAAGTATGCTTTCTTTCAACTAAATGCAATGAGTTTTCTGACTCCAACAATGCCCAAGAAAGGCTGCAAGTTCCCTTACCATAGGTTGGATGGCTCTGAGAGCTTGCTTACTCGGCACAGCAGTCAAGAAAGTGCTAAGGGATTGTTTCTTTGTTGATACCTGGGACCTTGAACTTGCAAGGCAGATGGCAGAACCACTGAGCTAAATCCCAGCCCAGTGCTAAGTATCTGTTGAACAAACAAAAATGTGGAGCTTATACAAAGCAGATACACATAAATCTACAGACTCATTTGCAGATTTCCACCCACAAAATTACAGATGACCAGTCTAGAAATTACTAGTTATGAGATACACTCGTGGTGCACCCCATTCTTTTATTTGGTAGATGACAACCATACTCACTTTATTATCCTGTTCCGAAACACAACTTTGGGTTGCTCGAACTATGTAGTAGAATGCAAGTTGTCACTGTTAACTTTCCATTTATTTCCAAACTCCACTAATTTTACCAACTCTTGAAAATAAAAGAAAAATACCTTTTTAGCTGTAATACACAGAGTAATAATAGAACTTGACACAGAACACACTTTCTTCTAGGCCGAAGCCCCCCAGCTCTTACCTCAAGAAGGGCAGGAAGTATTTCTAAGTCTGAGGATGAACTGAGGAAAACTGAATGCCAGTGTTCTGCTCCAGTCAGAACAGCTGCCCCAGAGAGCTGCAGATGCATGGCTGATACTCACCTTCAACCACTCAAGCCTGGAGTAACATCCAGGAACAACTGTTCTTCGGGCTTCTCTTTAGACAGGAGACTGGCCCTTCAGCTTCCTGTGGGCTTCGGAGAATCCTGCTACAACTGAAGCCCTGAGCTCACAGAAAAAGCCATCACTAAACACGACTGCAGCAATCAAAGAAAAGTCCCTCACATAATTAATTCCCTGAGCTAAAGTATCTATTTCAGTGACTACAACGCAATGACAGAGGAAATAAGCTGTAAGAAAGAAAAGGCAACACCAACAAGTTGTTTTCAACCATTCTGTTGCATAGTCCTAAAGAACTCTTTCCTTTTTATTTTTGTTTTGGGGTTTTTTTACCAGAAAGCTCAGGAGCCTACAAAGGATAGAAGATGTCTGTCTGCACTCAGATAATCAACGAAGCAGTCTTAACTTTAAGCAAACTATGGCCAGACAGCAATACAAGCTGTTTTCATCCAGAGCAATGAGTCTCTGGCGGGGCAGCAAATAAGCAACAACAATTAAAATATCACTGCAGTGCTAGGTGTGGATATGTACACCTGGAAACGCAGCACTCTGGGAGGCTGACAGGAGGATTACCGTGTCTGGGCCCAGCTTGGGCGACTTAAACCTTCACAACACAGGTGTGTTCCTCAGTGCAGGAGGCCTGAATTCAACCCCAGTACCACCAGACAAAACACCACTGCCATCTGCTGTACTCATTAACTGTCTATAATAGTCATGCTCTTAGTAGATAGGTCAATTTCTTTTTATAACTCTTCTGAAAGAAAACCACCAGGGTCCACACATGTAAGGGCGTAACTTCTGAAATCTCGTGGTCCCTGTAATGTCTACGTGCTAGACATTTTCATAATGGACCAACAATAAGAAACATACTAATAATTAGAGAACCACCCTCTTCTGAGGCTTAGCCCCAGTGCGGGTCTAATCTCGTGGCTGCCGCCGCCTCCACAACCCACAGGCGGCTCTTCCACCACCGCTGCACTCGCTCCGGGCTGCCTGTGCTGGCTCGGCGTCAGCCATACTCTCTTCTCCAGCTCCTCGCTCACCTGCCTGTCTCACCCCTTCTCAGGCACTCTTCTTTGAGATGCTCGCAGGATGGAGTCCCGCTCACCATCTCCCACACTGCCCCTCTCCGAACCCCAGGATGAACCCTCTTCTGAAGCATCACGTAACTGAACTCATCAATACATCTGCTCAGTCCAGACCTCTCAAAACCCTAACCCTACCCATCCAACCATGCACCCTCTCCCCAGATGTGAACCCCACCCAAACTGGGCCGGGACGTGGCTCATGGTGGAGTGCACGCGTGCCCCCCAGACTGAGCTCGCGCTTTCCCACCCATCCTCCCCACCCCGTTCCCGTGCATGCCCGTCGGTCACTCCCAAGCGGGGATTTCCCCAAACCCAAATTCCCACTCACCCGACACCTCGTACGCCGCTGGCTGTCCTTTTCTGGCCAGCTACAAATTCCGATCAGTGGTTCAGCTGCACCTTTTCACTGCGGACCCGTCTCATTTTTCATCCCCACATCACAGCTTCAGTCCAGCGTTTTAGCATTTTTTATACAGACTATTAATAGTTTTGTTTTGTTTCAGCAGTACCGGCTACTGAACCTGGGGTGCTAAGCTATGTCCCAGCCCTTTATAGAGTTCTCCTTTGATAATGGAAGTTTGCGGAGTTGCTCAGGCTGGCCTAGAACTTGCCTTAGCCTTCCCAGCTAGGACCACAGGTGTGTGCCAATGATCCCAGTCAGTTTAACTATCTTCAAAATTCCAGATTCTTCACACTGAACTACATCCCCAGACCCACACACACACACACACACACAAACAAAACATATATACACATTTTTTTTTTGTACCGGGGATCAAACTCAGGTCCTTGCACTTGTAAGGCAGGCAGCAGAAACACTGAACTAAATCCCCAGCCCAACCTTTTTATATTTTTGAGTAAGAGTACTTCTAAACCACTAAACTGCCCAGGCTGAGCTCAAACCTGGGATCCTCCTGCCTCAGCCTTCTGGGATTACAGGTGTGTACCACCACTCTCAACTGAAATTCCAGATTCTTATCTCGTAAATCCATCTTCATAGTACCATCATGATGCTTAAATAAAATGCTGCCTACCGAAACACAGAGTCTGACACAGCAAATACCTAAATGTGAGACACAACTAGTAATATTCTTAGAGAAAAAACTACAGTGTAAAATTTGAGGAGTTGTGTTTATCCAAGGGAAATACTCACACTGCCTTACTACTCTGCCCATACAAAAACTACTGAGCTTACACCACTCTAAATAATATAAGTATATCCAAGCATGATGGTGCAGCCTGTGACCCAATACTCAGGAGTACGACACAGGCAAATAACAAGTTCACCACTAGCCTGACTTCCATGGGAGTTCAAGGCTAGCTTGGACTATATACACAAGACCCTGTCTTGGAAACCCAAAATCATAGTAACAATAACAACAACAACAAAACCACAAATTAATCTACATGGGATAAAACCCTAGGCAAGGCCCTAAATTCCAACCAGTTTTCAATGGAGATATGGTCATTTCTCATGCATGGGTTCTGCCCTTTATTTCTCTGACTGGAAAAGTACCATATTACTAAAATAATCATAAAAGATTCTGCCATCTGCAGATTAATGATCCCGACATAATGATCCTGTGGCAAACTGGTGAAAATTACCTTTAAGAAGCCAATATTTTAAGCATATTTCAAAGTCTCAAACTTAAGTAATGCCTTGAAAAAGCACAAATGACAATACAACATTATCTTAACACATCACTTTGTAAAAGCTATCAAGTATTTTATTATTTTATTCTACTTTATATACAGGTCATAAAAGGCCACAGCAGTTTTTTCAGTATATAAACCCTTTAAAAGCAGAGGGCACTAGGAAAGACAGACAAGTATCAAAATGAAGTCCGTAATGAGGGCATACACACAGTGCAGTATTTCTGAGGAGTAACAAGCAGATACCAAGTCATCCACATTTAGTTTGCAGTTATTCCGTAGTTTTAGAATCCTCTTTGAGATCTGTTCACACCCCAGTTGTGCCAAGCTGTCATTTATTTAAAAACAAAAATTTAAAACTGAAACCAGAATAAAACTGGGAACTCAGAGGGCACCCTTTATAATTCTAGTCACCTGTAGCTCTCCATGAAGGAAAAAGCCTCAGTTCTCCATCCCCTTTCCGGTCTTTCTGCTTAAGGACAGGAAAAAGAAAAGGAAGAAAAAGCTCACTATTCCAAATTCTCCTGTTTACAGCTTTCCTTTTCTGTAGGGGTTTCTTCAAAGTGTACTTCAGGCCTTTTAAGAATTAGCTTCAAATTCCTAAACACATAATACTGCAACATCCTTCAAAAGTAACTCAAAAACACTGGTTTCCACTCTGCGAAAATACAATCTTTAAACCTATAACTGGTATCAGCAGATCAATATAAAAAATACAGTACCAAGCTACACTGGCATATTTCCATATTAAGAACTTCAAAATATACTTATCACTGAGACCATAGTCCTTGCATTAGTTTTCAGTCCACTATGAACAAATAATCTGCTGCATGTAAACATGTCTAAATAACTATAGATAAAATACATCAATCATAAATTTCTGTAAAAGATAATAAAATATCTTCTTTAAAA